AATAATAATAATAATAATAATAATAATAATAATAATAATAATAATAATAATAATAATAATAATAATAATAATAATAATAATAATAATAATAATAATAATAATAATAATAATAATAATAATAATAATAATAATAATAATAATAATAATAATAATAATAATAATAATAATAATAATAATAATAGTAATAATAATAATAATAATAATAATAATAATAATAATAATAAATGTTGACAATAAGAAATTAATAAATGAATAAATAAACAAATAAATAAATAGGTAAATAAACAAGCAAATAAACAAATAAATGGTTAGCAAATAAATAAATAATTAATTAATTAATAAATAATAACAATAGTAAACAGTGGCAATAATTTCAGATATTATAGCCAAAGTAATTCAAATATATCAGTGCTGCAAATGATTTTATTGTCCATACTATGATTAGCTTTGACATCATTTATCTTAAGTTATTACTCGCAATAACTATTTCGTTTCCCCTTGTTTGCATAATGGCAATTCATCATTGCTATCATAACTATCACAATGTTATCAGTTATCATAAATTGTCAGATAATGATATCACAAACATATGCCATCTTATTTTAAAAGACGTACCATCTTTTTTTTCCTTCTTCTTTATATTTTAACAATTCAAAAATTTTTTCAACCTTATGAAGGTCATCAAAATCATTCAAAATTTATACATTTTAATAGTTAATGGGAATAGTAAACAAATGTTTCATTGAGGCAGGAAATCGGTAAAATGATTATTAAAAAAAAAAAAAATGTAACAAATTGTTTGCTATAAAAATAGATAAATATATCAATCCAATTGTTAGTATTTGAAATGTGAAAAAGGATGGCAAAGGTAAAAATGGATGAAAAGTTGTAGAGAAGAAATGAAAAAAAAGAAAAAAATGTGATAAAATGGTTAAGGTTGATTTAATTGCGCGAGAATAATTTTTAGAATGATATCAAGGTCATTTCAATTATAAATACAAAATGTTTTATTATAAATTTATTCAATCGTTTTATCTTTTCTTTTTCAACCATACTTTACTTCACTTTATTCATTTAAAAGTAAACAAATGCATTTCAAATAATTTTAATTACAATTTTTTCTTTTCATTGCATTTTGGAAAAGAAATTTACTTTTTTCAAAATAACAATTTATTCATATCGAAAATATTCCAAATATCACCCTTTTTATCGTTTAATTTTCACGTTGTTTCATTTTTTTTCTTTGTTTTAATTAATAAATTTAAATGAAAAAAAATTAATGAATATGTTTTATGGTGACTTTTTTTTTTTTTTTTTGTTTTCTTACGTTTTTCTTTTTTATTTTCACTTTTTTTTTTTTGTTTTTTCTTTTTTTTGAAAATAAAATTAAATTTTTCTTTCGATCCCGTTTTTAAGTATTCACTTGTATATATATATATATTCATAAGTTATCAATGTATCACCATTGATATGCTGATAATGTGATAAATAAAATAATGTACGAAAATATTTCGACATATGCTTGTATGTATGTGTATATGTGTTATCTATGTATATTTTGATGTTTTAGTTTGTCAGCTTATCTATGCATGCACCAGCTGTTCACGCAGCTGCAGCTGCACTTTTATTCAAAATTCTTCAACATTACTTACTCATTTGCCTCATCGTATCAACCATTTATTCATGTTACAAATGCAAACACATCTGTATTAAGATGAAATGATTGTATCAAAAAAAAAAAAGCCTTTTATTATCATCTCAAATTTACTATCATCATTTCCGGGATCCATATGTTAACCATATGAGACAAATGCTTATAATCAAGTACTTAATTTCGAAATTTTTAAACATTTAAATTAATTATACTAATTAAATATATAATATAAATGTAAACACATATACTTTATCATTTTATCTCATTCATCTTTCATCATTAAAATTTCAGTTTTATCGTAGAAATTAAATTGATTAATTACAAATTGTGATTTTTTTTCATTTTTTCTGTAAATATTTCATGCCATCTTTTAATAGTATGTGTGAAATAAAAATAGTAAAAAATAAATTAATTGTATGTATTAAAAATTAGCATTTTTTTTCGTTTTTTTTTTTTTTTGCACAAAGTTACCATTAAATTAAACCCAATAAATGATGCGATATTTATAAAATTCAATTTGAATTTTGTTGATAACAAATTTGCATCGTTTTAGAAAAATGGTAAGAATGCTATGGATGAAAGTTAATCAAAAATCAATTATGCTAAATTGTCCTTTCTCAACTACCATCCCTTCCATCATTTATCCTCCATATCCCCTTCATCACATCGAAGAGAATGATTTGTGATCGAAGCATTTCAAATTTGAAATAGTAGTATAGAAGCCAAAAAAAAAAGACTAAATATCACAAGTAAAATTGAATTATTGAAAAAAGAAAAATTAAAAGTGAAAGAATTCTTTAGAAGATAAGTTCAATCAATTGCAGAAAAAAAAAACCTCTTCAGAACATTTAAAAATTTCAAAATTTTATCTTCTTTTTAATTTCATTTCACTTCTTTTTTCTTAACTACAAATAAAATAAATTATGGAAAAATATTTCCTATTGATTGTTAAAATTTTTACAAAATTTTGCATAATTAATTCAACATTTTGGTTTGCAAATGACATGAAAAAGACGAAAAGCATATTTGTTTAATAAATTTTCATCCTTTTATAAACTTCGTATTTTAGTTCATTTATTTGTTTATTTATTTAATTTGCATACTGTTAATAAATTTCAATTCTTATCCTCATTTTTTTTTCTTTAATGTCAAAAGTGATGCAAAATTTTTTTCCATACTACTTATAAATGAAAATAATTCTAATAATTGATAATATTTTTAATGTTCATTCCCATTTATCTATCATAATCTTTGTTTTTTTCTTTCTCTCTCTCTCTCTCTCTCTTCTCTCCTCCTCCTCTCTTTTTTTGCATATTATTAATATTAATGACTGCATGTTAAATTTTTCATTTAAACGCAAATTTCATGCCATTTTATTAAAGCAATAATTATTCATTTTCATGCAAAATCTTATCAAATTTTAATAAATCAGTTAAATAGAGTTATGTATAAGAATGTAAATGTATAGAATAATATTCATTTCATAGATTTTATCATTCAAAACTATTTTTTGGATTATAAAAATTTAAATAGAAACCATGCACAACTATATGCGTTCTCTATAACTGAGTTTAATTATTCATAATATGTGTATTGTTATTATTATTATTTATTATTATTATTATTATTATTATCATTATTATTATTATTATTATTATTATTATTATTATTATTATTATTATTATTATTATTATTATTATTATTATTATTATTATTATTATTATTATTATTATTATTATTATTATTATTATTATTATTATTATTATTATTATTATTATTATTATTATTATTATTATTATTATTATTATTATTATTATTATTATTATTATTAT